CCTTGTAGTTAGAAGTCAAATGCCTTAGGTACTATACCACCAGAGCTCCCAGTAAAGATTGTAGCCTGGAAAACCCTATGGGGCAGTTCTCCTCTGTTGCACAGGGTCGCTGTGAGTTGGAATCAACTCTATGGCAATGGGTTTTTTTTTTTTTTTTTTTTTGGTTTGAGTCTATTAGCATAGCTATCAACAATGCAATCAAAACCAAACCAGCTGTCATTAGAGATGGTTATGGCTCATGATGGCCCCATGTGTGTGAATCATGATGGGACTATGCCCCACAGGGCTTTCAGTGGCCATTTTTTTTTTTGCAAGTAGACCAGCAGGCCTTTCTTCCCAAGTGACTCTGGGTAGATCTGAACCACCAACTTGTCCATATGACTGTTAACTGTCTGCACCACCCGGGACTCCAGCAAAGCAATCAGACTCCTTCTATCGGGCAGGTACCTGGATGTTGAGTCTCCCGCGATGTGCACCCAGGCCGTAGCGCTTCACTGTGGATGCATGGAGCTGGAAGTCAGTGATCTTCAGAGTTTCCAGTCCAAGAGGTGGGCAACCTGAAAAACACACGCTCATGATAAACAGGACAGGTGTTGAAAGGAACATGCTCCTGACTGTCTAGCTCTGGCCACATGCTTTGCCCTGTGGCCCCCCAAACTCCCACGTGGCAGGGCAGACCTGCCTCCTGGCATCACCAGGTCACATAGTGTGTTCAGACAAGTGTCCGCTCCGGTGCCGACATTCCATCGGTGCTGTCTCCTGTTAGCATCTGCCTCCTGGTTTTTCGTTGTTCGCTTTTTTCTTTGGTTTGTTTTTGCTCTTATATTTCTTCTCTATTGCTTTCCATGCTACCATCTGAGCCTGCTTCAATGAAGTCTCCTTCCAGAACATCACAGGCAGGGAGCATAGTTGCTTAGAAACTCCAGACTAACCCCATAGTCGAGCTTTGCAAATGAATCAAGCCTGGCTGACTTTGCTTCTGGACCCTGACCTCTGCACTGTGTATCCTAACAAATAGGGAAGCCAAGTAGAAAACCCGCCATTGTCTTCTTTTCTTGGCAGAACTGGTAACTTTGAGAACAGCCACTTAAAGCAGTTTGGTCCAAGCTGCCACTGGAATAAAAACATGGGCTCTTGGACAGGCCCTTGGTGATTGTCCCAGCAAGCCCCCATCAAGCCCCTCATGTGGATAAGACCCAGGTGAGAACCCAGCCTCAGCCTCCTGCTCTGCTATTCTCACCCACTCACCCTGCCACAGGGCTGTAAAGTCTCACAATGATTCGACCCCACACACACACTTGACCTTAAAAAAAAAGAAAAACAAAAATGCTGGCAAAGAAGTAAACAAGATCTATTGCTACTAGAAGCATTAGAAAACCCTTATGTAACAGAGGGGTCCCTGGGTGGTGGTGCAAATGGTTAATGAGCTCGATACTGACTGAAAGAATACAAGTTCAAGTCCATCCAGAGGCACCTTGGAAGAAAGGCCTGGCAATCTACTTCTGAAAAATCCACCATTGGAAACCCTGTGGAGCAAAGCCATTCTATACTACGTGGGGCTGCCATGGGCCAGAGTCAACTCAATAGTAACTGGTTCATTTTCTTTTGATCAGAAGCACTTGTATCCACAGGGCTGAGGGATAATAAATTAGAATCTAGAATCCACTACTAGCTAAACCACAGGTCAACCCAAACCCACTGCCATCAAGTTGATTCTGACTAATAGCGACCCTATAGCACAGAGTAGAGCTGCCCTGTTGGGTCTCAAGGTTGTATATCTTTATGGAAATAGACTGTCTCATCTTTCTCCCATGGAGCAGCTGGTGGGTTTGAACCAGCAACCTTTTGGTTACCAGCCCAATGCTTTAACCACAGCATCCCCAGAGCTCCTGTAGGTCAACAGTCCAGGTAAGATAAGGGTATCTTCAGATGCAAGTGCTCAGCAGTTTACCACTGCCCCCCTCTGCCCCACACAATAACCACAGACCTTTGCTGAAAGAGCCACTGGAGTAACATATGAGGGACACACATACGCAGCGTGGTGAGAGCAACATGCTCTGCACAGTACCTCATCCCAGAAGAGGGCCAGAGAACACCTCCACCAGCCAACCAACTCCAACAGCAACACAGTCACAGTAAGACGTCAAAATTCCTTTCACGATCATAGAAACAATTAGGCCAAGGGACTAGAGGACCACGTGAACCTCAGCCTCCACAACCCTGAGACCAGAAGAACTGGATGGTGCCCGGTTACCACTGATGACTGCTCTGAAAGGGATCCCAATCGGAGGTCCTGGACAGAGTGGGAGAAAAATGTGGAACAAAACTCAAAATCAGAAAAAAGACCAGGCTTACTGGTCTGCTAGAGACTGGTGGAACCCCTGAGACTATGGCCCTTAGACAACCTTCAAGCCTGGCGTCGAACTCACCCTCGTGGCTCAACCTCCAGCCAAACAATAGACAGGCATATGGGGTGAACAGTGACACCAGGGAGACATGCACTGCTTAGAACAATCAACCAGATGAGATCCAAAGGGCAGCATGTGTCCAGGGGTAAATCTCCAAAGGCAGGAGGGCTCAGAAAGAAGGACGGAGGGAAACAGTAAACACAGGGAGGAAGTGGGAAGAAGGGTGTTACATTGTGGGCACTGCAACCAATGTCACAAAACAGAATGTGTAACTGTTGAGTGGAAACCCAATTGTTCTGTAAACTTGTAACCAAATCCCAATAAAAAGGTTTTTTAAAAAAAATCTCCTTTTACTTTAAATTCTCAAAGCAACGTTCAGCCCCTGTCCAAGGAGCTGTCGATCACGACATCACCTCCAAAGGAGCAGGACTTTTCTCGGTCCTTCAGAAAAACAGCCCTAGGGAAGACAGGAATGCTGCGTGTAGGATAAAGGAAAGGAGGGCCCAAGCGTTCCAACGTGCACTTTAAATATCTGTAATCGAAGTTAAAAGACCAGAGCCCCAAAGTGGTGGCCTCATCATCACCAGACATTTGTGTCCTAACTGAGCGCAGCATATCAACGAATGAGATGGCTAGTGGGCTTAAAGGGGCCTTGAAGTGAATGGGGGACTCCTGCAGAGCTCTTCACCCCGCCTCTGTTTTCTGCTAAGTTCCAGGCGCTGCTGCAGTGACACGGTAGTAATAATAATGATAACAGCTCTGGGCTTGAGCCCATCTGGCCCGCCAGCCGGCCACTGTGCGCTCAAGATAGATGAGTCCCCGGCACCCCTCCAGCATCCCATCAGGCCTTCGCTGTTTCTAAGAAGGCAATACCGTCATTCTGAGAATCATGTGGGTGAAGAGAACAGGAGAAAAGTGTGAACACACTTCAGGAAAATGTTAGTGAGACCAGAGATGGATTAGAATCTGGAGGGAAGAGATGTTGTCAGGCGTCACAGCTGACTCGCCTCTTCTCCTGAAGACAGCATGAGGCTCGAGGTACACCCCATGCTGAGCAGGGCACCGCTGACAGACCTGTGCTCCCAGCCCTGCTCCCAGGGAGCATAGGAGCCCCTGCCTCCCTTCTACCCCTCACTTAATTAAACTTATCCTTTGTCAAAACTCTCTGCAGGGCAGCCACTTCATGAAACGGATTGTGTTCTCTGGCGTGTATTAATTCACCGTCATCATCATCATTACTGTCACCATAAATCACCTGTACACACATCCGCTCTGATTCAGCACAAGAGACCGGGGGATTTCATGTCACAGATGTCCCTGTGGCCCAGGAGCCACACGGCACAGTCAGAAGATGATGTAAGTCAGCCTCCGGGTCTGAAGCACCAATCCCATATTCCCCACCCCCAATATCCCAAATCCATTGGAAGAGGCTGTCATGAAAGTTCCATTATTATTCTTAAAAGTTTGGGGACCAACAGGTGAATGTTTGAGAACCTACCATGAACCAGACTGCAGGCATTCTGTGATGTAATGGTCACAAGAGACGGGCATTTTCATCCCCATTTTACACATGAGCAAACTGAGAGAAGCTACTGTGTGTCTGAGTTAGAATATAGAAATCAAGTGTGTCATAAAATCCAGGCTGACTGGAACACTCAAGAGTGCAAAGCAGGCCCACAGTGGCCATGACGGCAGAGGGCAGGGCGGGCCATGAGGGCAGAGGGTAGGGCGGGCCATGAGGGCAGAGGGCAGGGCGGGCCATGAGGGCAGAGGGCAGGGCGGGCTCACGTTAGGCCTGGGGCTACTTGGGATGGCCACCCAAAAAAGGAGCTGGAGCTGGAGCTGGGACAGGCCTCACCAGTTGGCAGAGGGAGCTCGGAGTCAGGTCATCTGGCCCACTGTGAGTGCCTGCTGGGAAATGGAGCAAGGAATTTGTCAAGACATCCAGCACTCTGCCAAGGACAAGTTCACAGCCTTCCTGAATTTTTGCTTTCGTTGTTGCCTGCAAATTGAATAGCTCTGACTTAGGAAATTCTTTCTTTCCATCTTTCTGAACTTGGCCTTGCCTTTGATAGACGAGGGTGGAGGCAGCTTCTGGGGGTACCAAAGAATGTGTGCAGTGGCTCTTTGCTGGTTCAGGCTTCCAGAGGGGCACAGCGTCTCCCAGGGTCAACTTGGGGAAAGGAGCTGGTCTCAGCCTTATCTCCGTGCCACCACTTTGGAGCAAGCACTGACTTCTTAGAGTGCCTGACTGAACATCAAACCCTCCTGGAAGACATTTTAAAATTCATGATCCCCAGACCCCTCCCCAAGGACTGTGGACCAAGCACTAGTCTAAAGCTTCTGGGACACTTTCCTGAGCTGATCAAGTTGACTACCATGGTCTTAGGGAGTCCTGCAGACCCTGGCTGATGTCTCTCAGCTCTAAGTCTACACAGCTCAGAGCTTTCCCTTCCCAGGCCCCAGTGGATCAGACAGAGAAAACCCTCCGGGAAATCCAGTTGACCCATGGGCCAGGGCCCAGGCTATCTGAAACCACTTAGGCCTGAGTCAACCCTGGCAGCCTTTGAACTCTGAGGCTTTGCCCACTTATTTCCTTCTTGAATGTCCAGCTTGGTGGCTGTCTCATGTGGAAAATTTTTGAAGATCTCTTCCCTACCCCGCTGTGCTACTCTTATTCCTCTCACCCTACCCCCACCTCTGTCTGAGTCAATCCTCCTAAGAAAGTTCAAACCACGGTTCAAGTCCACAGGTTCCATATCCATCTCCCTGATGAGGCTGCAGATGTCTCCAGGTGTTGTCACTCACAGAGCTGCAACTATGAGTTTTCAGGATTGGATTTCTACTGTGCATTCTATGTTCCCCAAACACATGGATGGCTTTGTATCATCATCCAATATAACTGATAACTGCAGAAGACATGATGCAATCACATCTGCATCATCATGGAAAATTAATATTTTCCATTTTGTTCTTTCTATAAGGCCAAAAAAGAAAGGATCTTCAGAATAACATTTCTCAAACTCCAACCATTTGCATGTCATATTCATTTCCTAGAGCTGTCATAGCAAAGTACCATAGCAAACCAGGTGGCTTAAAACAACAGACATATATTCTGTCACAGTTCTGGAAGCCAGATGTCCACAACC